TGTCCACAGTTTTGCAAAAGTTTTTAAGAAACTTACGCGGTGTGCATTTGTTATTATCACCGTTCATACCCTACTCTAATATTCCTACTCACAAAGCAATGACATCGCGTTGTCGATGATCCTCATAATTTTTTTATTTTGCATTTATTACAATTCACTAACAAACAATAATCAATGAGCAAAAAACTTGTGAGAAAACTGTATATTAGATCCCCTATCCGTTTGGCGAGAGCAAGTTTTCAGATTAAGTCATCCAGGTTGCTGTTTTTATCTTTTATTTTACCATAATATTGCGAATTAAATCTATATTTGTTTAGAAATTCTTATTTTAAATGTCATCATTATAATCTCCTTTTCAACATTTCATGAGTAAAAGAAACTATCATTTGGTTGGACGCTATTCCCCCACTGTCAGATATCGCCGCTTTTTATAATGCCCTATGTTCAATCCTACCATAATGCTTAATAATGCCTAGCATTGCCATCGCTGTAACTTGTAATTGTTTTCTTGCATTCAGTCTATTTTTGGAATGAAACAGTGTTGCCGTTTCACTCCATTAATCAACATTGGAACATTCATGCCATCCAAAAAGCGTGATTATTTTTCTTTTCGACTTTACAGTCTGGATGGGTCTCACTTCGTGAATCTGCATTATCTAACATCATTAAAGAGGCCGCCCCGAGTTCGGTTAATGGTGAAAATAATTAGTGAGCTTTCTCGTTTTTAATTGTCACTTTGAAAGAATATAACAGGAATGTCTCTTGAAAAAGGGGATGCTCTTCAAAGTTCAAACGACCTTTTATTCAAAATATGACGTAAAAGAGTTGAAACGTTTGGACCAAACTTCCATGTCACCTGTGTGGGTAGTCCCGTATATACATTTCTGTGCGCAATATATGTGACTTACTTTCCCAACGATTTCCCAATTTCTTGATTTTAAAACCTCGCAGTTTACAACAGCTATTATGTACTATTTAATTATCTTTCACTATGTAATTGCACGACCAGGGCCCCGTCTTATAAACAATTGCGATTAATCGCAATTATGTACATACAAGATAGAGGGCTACAAACTTGTGATTGATTGGAGGACTGTATATGGATCAATCGCAGCTCTTTATAAGACGGACCCAGAACTTAACTGTATCTTTAAACGGAAATTCCAACGCGTCGCACAACTATAAATTCTCTTCTGACAACGCATTCAAATCAGTTCAACTCCAAAATCACGTATTTTTCTATTCTTTAGAAGTTTTATTCTCTCTCTTCGAAGATAACAATAAGTAATGGAAGACATACAAAAAATGTACACGTCAATAAGTTTATCATCTATCATAGAAATATATATACAGACAAATACATCAACGTTTATCAAGGAGATGGTTAGAGTTAAAGGCAGATAATCTTATAATTTCATAATAAACATGATAACAATCGAATGTAAATGGTGCGATAAGAAAACAGTGGTATAAAATAGAGCGAGTGAATCGTGATTCCCCGCCCTAACTTGGTAGAGAACTAGAAAGCGTGTGCTTATATTTATTATCATCATCACTTATATCACAGGCACACCAACGAGACCGATACCAGAGCGTCACCAGTGCGACACCAGAGCGTCACCAGAGCGACACCGGAGCGACACAGGAGCGTCACCTTAGCGACACCGGAGCGACACCAGAACGACACCCGAGCGACAACAGACCGAATAGAAGATTGCATTACCCCCCGGAAAGGATAAGACTCATTTGGTCACTGTCGTTGTGGAATCGTTATGGAGTCGCGATGGCGGTGTGACGGAGGTATCACCGATCGCTGGTGCATTGCCCGTTTTTCTTATGTGCTAAACTCTTTATCATAGTAGCCACCGTAAAGCATGAATCAATATTTCACCAGGTAATGCCATATAGTGCTTTAACACAATCCCAACGACTATTCTGAGAACGTCTGGGACAAGATGCCGTTAAAATGTTCGGTGAGTGGACAGATGATTATCTAGGTCATTGCCCGGTATGAACAAATATATTAAATAAAGATAAGTTTGTTCGTACTTTCAAAAAAAAAAATGGAATACATATTGTGAAGGCGTCTGCGAATGCTGTTAAAAAATGAGTTAAGGCACAATATTATTATTTCATTTCTTTGGTTATTCTTGTGTGTTAAACAAAAATCATGGTCAAATAAATCTTGGTTTATCGAGAAGTAGAAAATTCAATGAGCAACATATCTCGCACGTTCTATGACTATTTGCACAGCGGAATAAAAATCAACATAATTTACCCTGACTTATCAAAGCCATTAGTCATAATTATACAAAATCAAAGTATGACACAAATATCAAAGAATATTCTAATTTTGTAATCTGTACATAATATAATTCGTGATGTAAGCTGCATGGAAAGATAATTTTGAAGTCGATTTGAAAGAAGTTCACATAATGTTAGACATCATTACACGGAGTATAAAACACAACTAAGCCGAGTGATAGTTCGTTCATACTTTCAGTACTTTATCACCTAAATTCCGACCTGTAAGACACAATTTCATAAGTTGCGAGAAATCCTCCAAAAAGGTGAATCTAATGTTTCACTTTGTATTGTATACAGTTTAAATCACATCGTCTGTAAGTTCTTTTGTTATCGAGTAGATGTGTTTATATCCACACGGAGAAGCAAAATGCGGACCTAGTGGAAGACGTCCCATGTCGCAACAAGATCACTTCTAGAAATTATGGCACGAGTCGCCTTCCATATTAAATCCCACTGCAAAATCCGGATAACACATCCCCTATGAACAAACACGTACCCGATATTGTCAATCATTCTATGAAAATCATACTACGAAAGCAGAAGAAAGATCTTTGTCAGAATTGTACACATGTAAATCAACAAGAATATAATTTCATTGAAAAGAAAGAGAAAGAGAAGTATAAAAGCGATGTACACTTATAGATACAGCACATATTTGTACGTTGTCAACAGTGAACACACTTGTCTTTCAACTAGCATACACACATCTGTAATAAAGTTTTCTCTTTAAAAAAAAAAAGAGTAATTGAATATGACCTACTCATGTTGACAGCGAAAATAGATTCAAGCCAGGCTTGCTCCTCAATATCAGAAAAAGAAAAAAATGAAATAAATTATTGTCATCAGTTTGTTGGATCAAACCGAGTAGGCGTTTTCCCTAGAGACTCAAGTCAAAGAATACCCCTTATCCTCTAATACCTCATAGAGATGACCTTTTCTGCGCTCGTGTGACCTTCAGCATAAAAACTCGAGATACCAACATAATTTTCAAGTTTTGCTCTCTTTTTCTTTCGATATTGACATTTTGTTGGGTATGTTTTCACGGTGCTAAGACAACTGCTGGTACACAAGCAATTAAACCGTTTTTGAGCAAATTCCATAGGTCAATCTGTGACGTCAATATTTGTTGGTTTTATACATTGATAACGAATATAATGGGGCTAATAGTGATATGTATGGAAACACATTCCACTGCGTTGTTTCATTGCATCAGAAGTTCAATATGAAAAGTTTGTTTGTCTGTAAAATATCTTCATATATTTCCAAGTGAAATATATATATTTCTATAATATAAATCTATTATTCTTTTAAGAAGGCACGGCGAGGGATGAAATATGAAAAGTAATAAATACAAAGATATTAATTTACAAAAAGATTTTCAAGAATATCTACAAGTTTGTATAAAGAAAATGTTGAACGTTGTCACTCATTGAAACATTAACATGTACTTGTTTCATTTTACGCATTTTTAAAGCACAAACGTATAGTTTTCAGACCGTCTACAACAGAATAACATGAAAAGACCAAAACACTAAAATTTTGTTTTTTTATTCTTGGAAAGACGATTCTAAAAGCTTTGAGGAAAAAAAATTGCATTCACATCTTTATATTCTATTCGATGAGATTATAAAAGAACACAACAAATAACTGTTTCAAATTCTATAAAATAATTTCAACAGATGGGTCTATAAAGCATTTTCTTGATATTTCTCAGTGCACGCACAACCCCTTCTCTTTAAAAAAAAAACCCAAGGAGGATTAAAATAAAATAAAAACACATTTTTAAGCATGATCATTAGCATCATGTTGTGAACCCGCGGAGAAAGGATGCCACGAACGCCGAACCTAACCAAATCAGCACTTCGACTTTAAACGATTCCAGCATTCGGTAATGCAATACTCCCCCTTGGACTTAAAGAACACCAACAGGTGAGGTATAGGTAGGATCGGTAGAGAGAGAGAGGGGTAATAGCGTGCCCCCTTCCAGACTCTACCGACACACACATACACACACCTGTCCGCGAGCACCCCGGTCTTGCCTCGAGCAATTTCCTCGGAGGTGTTTACCCCCGGCGCAATAACTGCTGAAGTTTTTACTCTATCAGCTTTACACAGCTCAGTAATGGGGGAGGAAGTAACTGAATGATGTCGACTGGAATTATACGTCACTTTCCGAATCAAAAGATGATTTTTTTTTCTTTATAAAATTGTAAATTATTACAGGGGGTTCATTTGAGATATGATATTTCATGAGAGGAAATATGTAGTACGGTCGGTAACCGTCTTTTCGAGATACGGAATAAATTCAATGCATATACATGTTTTGGATTCAATATTGCAGTCGAGTATAGCCACGTGAAAATCTTATGCGATAACTAGACGAACTGGATTTATTCGCTATATTGGTGAGATGCAAAAATAAAAGAAGACACCTATAGTTCGTATTTTCAGCACACAGCCTTCAAGAAGTGGCGAGAGAGAAAGAGAAGCAGAAGATTAGGAGAGGGAGAGAGAGAGGGGGCAAGATAGAGAGAGATATGGAGAGAGAGGGAGGGAGGGAGAGAGAGGGGAGGGAGAGGGTGTGGGGTGAGGGAGAGAGAGGGAGGGGAAGAGAGGGAGGGGAGAGATAGATGGAGAGAGAGGGGGAGAGAGGGGGAGAGAGAGGGGGAAAAAAGAGAGAGACAGAGAGAGAATAGAAGAGAAGAGAGAGGATTGAGAGGCTCACAATATATAAATAAAGAAATACGTAGATGGATAGACAAATTAACAATGACTATTTCTTGATCTGCCGTTTCCGATATAGACAGGATATGTCAAATATAATAAAGAAAATACATAATATACATTTACTATCTACTTCTACACGTTGCCAATCTAAGACAGATTTGGTCAAGGTTCATAGTTGTTCTTTATTTTTTCTCCACTTTGCTACATACTTATTTTATGATGTCATTGTCATCTGCCTAGCATGGTAATATTTTTGTCACCTAAACAAAGTTGGCTTCGTGGTTCGTGTCTCGTTGCCATTATGTCATCTTCTATGGGCAGACCAAACAACGCGAAAACTTCCCAAACGTTCACTATTGTCTCAAACTTAACTCCGACGTCGGCGTTGTTTGCAACGTTCCTTTCGCGTCATTGTTCTTTATTTGTTAACGTTCTCCCTCTCACCGTCTCTCCTTCCCTCTCGCTGTGTCTCTCCCTCTTACACTTGTATACCATGCGGTCATCGTCTCTGCCGATTGCGATTTCATTTCACACGCGAGAAAAAGCATGACGACGTCACGAACGTTGTCGTCGTTGCATCGTCTCTATCCACAAATGTAGACGGACTAACAACATAGTGTCCATTGTTGTTAAAAAAAACGTTCCTGTAACGTCGTCGACGGCATTATTAGAGTTCAACCAGCATGACGTCAGACGCGTCAGGCGTCGCCGTTAGAGATGCTGCGTTGCCGCCGTTTGTGACGCGTCATTTCGCTGGTGATTCATCTTGTCCTGGTGTCGCTTCATGTGCAGTGACAGGTGGTCTGACCGTGAGAAGCAGCGCTCACAGACCTTGCACTTGAATGGCTTTGCCCCCGTGTGCTTGCGGAAATGTCTCGTGAGCTCGTCGGACCGGGCAAAACGCCACTGGCACGAGTTCCACGTACACCTGCAGAAAAAAAGAAAAGGAAAGAAAAGAAAAACAAAACGGGGAGTGAGCTCATTGTCTAACATTTCATTTCATTTCATTTCCACATTTATCACTTTCAAGTTTCAACATGCGTTTTGACAAAATAAATTTGTTTTTAAAGAATTCAACCTACTTGCAAGTGCAAGAATGAACAACTTCAATGATATTTATAATTAAAATACTCTGCACTACTCCTGTAAACTATGGTCTCTCTTCAAAATAGCTAACAAAGAATGATCATGGGCTAGATATGAATCAGGAGGGAGTGAAAAGATTCGATTTGGAATCATGGAGATATGCTCTAGATATCCGAACCAAATTTACTTCTACAACTCGTAAGCCGCGCGTCCATATAATCCCTATCCCATGGCTCACCCCGTTTACCTCTATTCATCGGGCTCCAGCTAAACCTCTGTCGTTTAACATCTGTAATGCTACGATTTAGCTTTTAAATGAGCCTTTCATTGTAGGTTTAAACGACAAATGATACCGTTTAGAAAACGAGGATTTACCTCGGCATAACATGGAGCCATCAAAATCTGTTCTATTTTTGTTTAAACAACCTCGATCAAAAAGCACATACGACAATGTCCTGAATTCAGCCTAGCCAACCATGCCAACTTGCCCACATATTTTCTCCTCTATTTATTTTCCATTCTTCACATGAATTGAATACACCCCTAAGTTCTTTCAAGGGCAATGCATAAGTTTGCATTGATTATAACACAATGATTAGGTGATAAAGTACATAGATAATTAAACAAGTTCGGCTCTCCACGGAATATAGAACAAAAGGAGCAAACTGATTCAGGAGTCAGTTCTGGATGTACTAGTATTTGTTTTGAGTATTGTTATGGTAACGATTTAAAAAAAAAGAGACTGGCTTAAAGTCTTTCTGAGTCGTACGTCATCCCCTGATGGGTCACCTTGCATAACAGTTAGATTTTAAAGCAACTCAAATATATAAATGAATGCAAGGTTAAAATACTCATTTAATACCGATTGGTTGAAAATAAAGTTGCGCTGGATTTGTTAGTTCCATTTAAGAGCATCTTGAGTGGAATAATTTGTTTGGACCAGAAAAACTTACGAAAATGACCTGAAAAATCAATTAACCTAAAAATTATTTAAAAACAAATGCAAACATGCAACTATGAAGACTATGTAGTCTAATGGTAGGGAGAACTGGCGCTAAATTCTGGGAAATAATATTATCAAGGAGCACCAGGAGTGTCAAATCTGACAGACATGAGCGCTATACAAGAACCCACTAGTATTATTCTTATTAGATGTATCACGTATGTTCTTGTTTATTAACCATTACGCAGCTTAGGCAGCTTGCATACATTTCTACCAATAACATCTGATAGATATCGTTGACATTTGTTAAAGAACATTCAGGGTATTAGTTCTAGTCTGATTATCATTTCAAATGTACACGACTGCATTTAATGAAGCAAAAATGCAGACACAAGAGAAACCGACATCCATAGGAGTTATGAATTTTTCAATGTGGAAGTCATGAACAGAATAACAGAACTTTTTTTGTAACCCATTGACTAGGTGGGGGCGAATGTCCACAATCGTTCAACCGTTGATTAATGTGCCAAGCAAATATTTCCCATGCCGGTGGCTTACAGTATGTTGTTTTTATCGGTCTCAATAAAAGGTGCCTGCCGCTCTCATGACAATAGACTACTTTTTGTTTTGAATGAGTAATAACCCGATTTATTGCGTAATAACTTCTACGAAAAAAAAGAGCCAATGGCTTCAGACCATAACTGTATGCATGTTCATTTTGGTATAATAATATTCGGTTCTTGTATAGCGCATATCACATTATATAACGTCTCTATGCGCTTCCAAAGAGCTTGGAAATTATTACCCTAGCTTTAGCTCCGGCAGCCGTAATCAGCGCACAGTGCATTTTAAGGAATAATCCTACCGGGTACCCATTTACCTCACCTGGGTCGAGTGTGGCAAATGTAGATGAATATCTTGCCAAAGGACATTAATGCCGCGGCGGGAATCGAACCGCGGACCTTGTGATCCACGGTCCGGTGACATATCCACACGGCTACAACACCTCCATATGCGCATACAGGTTTATACAGATATAAGTATATATATATGTTTCTCATATTATATATAATATATATATTCCAGGTCAAGGAAGTGTGTCAATCATATATATATAATCATTATATTTCGAGTGATACTTAGTAGATAGAAGAAATGTACTATTGAGGAATGTCTCACGCCCGCACGAGTGTATCTACACAGGGGTACACTAATCGTCAAAGAATCATGATTTTTTAAAACGATTTCACACGGCTTATACCAGTACAAAAACAGTTGAGCTTTCTCTGAGCGTGACTGTGAACGAATGTGCACACCATGAATTATCAATTACTACCGTCTACTGACTTTCAAAATCATTTTTCCCCTTCATTTTCTTTCTTTCAAAACAGGAAGTCAATTTTTGTAGAGCGTTCTCTTTAAACAAAAATCCCTGGATTTGCATGACTTAAGGTGACCTAGATATACCTTCATTGAACTTGAAGTATGCCCCATTGTTTTTCCCGATCCAAATATAATTCCTTGTTTTGACTGCCTCGGTGGATGGCCATGAACAAATGAAGGTATTTTTTTTACAATTAGTATCGTCAGTGCGTTGCCATGGAGACATTAGAGATAAAGCCATTACACACGCTCTTCGCGTTATCTTAATTACAAATCTTTTTTGTTGTAATACATTCGGTAAAAATGCATTTTACTAATTAATGCTAACGAATTTATCATCTATATTGATGTGAACCATTTTATTTTGGCGTGCAATCCCAACTATAACATAATTTTTGTTTCATCGTATAAAATCTTTATAATCCCTTAATAAAAAATACGCAATCAATGGATCCCATATCGTTATTCGTGATTGGTTAATTAGTTCTGACGTAACACAAATCCGTTACTTTAGTAGGGACCTATATATTCCTATGAAATTACTAAATATTCATATTTCGTTTTTGTAAACTTCATTCAAAATCAAAAGATGTTTGTAATTTTTTTTTTTTTTTTTTTGGTGGGGGGGGGGGGGGGGGGGTCAGATGAGGGACGAATGAGCACGATCGTGATTTTCAGTTGATGGCATAGTCGCACATAAGCATGATAAATGAGATATTAAGGCCGCCATCAACCTAGGCGAATATACTTGCTTTAGTGGCATCAACTTAAATGCAAAAGCAACAAGAACGAGAACAACGGATTTAATCTTTAAAAAATGATTTTGATTTAGATTGTCTGGCATTAATGTTATCATATTTTTGTCTACTGCTGGCGTTCATGTTTGTACGCTTGGCCGACGTCCCGAAACATTACTCTAATGTATGTCCTCACAAAGCGCGACTGTACACATTATTTGGCCGTTCTACTTTGTGTATATTCATTGACTGCGGTACCCGTGACCGACAGTGAAAAACAACTTCTGTGATAAAAGTAGCTATATTGCTTAAACGAAAATGGTGAACATCCACGAAGATACACTATGGAAATATAATCATTATTCAATAATACAATGAATGGCACATATCTGCCTCAGTGGACGCATTTTCATTGAGATACAGACAGCATGGCCTGCTGACGATACAAGGATCATGAAAATATGTTGGTACTTCATTGGGAATAAGCTATTCACTGAGGCAAAGGGAGCCCCGGAACGCCTTCGACGAAAATGTGTTAGGTAAAGTCTGGAATAGTTGGAGTTAGAGGATGGAGGGAGGGGGAGGAGGGAGGGGGAGGAGGGAGGGGGAGGAGGGAGGCTGAGCCTTTTGTGTGAATGTGCACCATCTCCATATCTTCCAACCTCACACTCACCTGTATGGTTTCTCCCCTGTATGGATGCGTTGATGGGCCTTTAAATGTGAGCTCTTCGTGTAAACCTTCGTGCAACCTGCACAGAATAAAAAAGGGGAATATCAATAAAAATGGATTTAATATTATTCGAAGTCATGATTAATGCTAGTAAAGAACCAGCTAATAAAAGTGCATTATGTCATAGTCCGAATTACCCGGTGTGCAGGCACGCCTTTTCAGTCGCTGTATGTAACAGTGGCTGGAACGTAAGACTATGCTGACGGCATACTGCATCGGCTCTGTACTTAAGCTATTTGATGCAGCCACAGACAGAGCTAGTCTCAATCTAAGGCTTAAGTTTCCCATTAAAGTCTGTGCGTGCAGACTATAAGTTACCACAGTAGCCACAAAGCCACAATATATATACTGCAACACATTATAACTGTGGTTGCGGTTCAAGCTCACCAGTTCATGGGTTCAAAGAAAGTATTGACTGGAATCAAACAATTTAAAGATATACAAAACTACAAAATAAAACTACATAATTTGTGCGTTCAGTCCGCCTCCATCTACTGTCTTCCATTTTCACACTCCTGCATTTCACACCCCCCCCCTCTCTCTCTCTCTCTCTCTGTCTCCGTCTATTCCTCGTTCTCTTCCTTTCATCCAATCTCTTCATCTCGCTACAATCTTTCTTCTTGAAATATTATTTTTAACTTACTTCTTTTAGTGTATTTCGTTCTGATTCTTAACCCAAGCACCTACCCCCCCCCCCCCTCATATCTCGCCTTGCCCTCTCCCCCACTTTTCCTTCTGGCACTGTAGTGCCACGCCCTATCCCCTTTTACCCACCAATCCTTAGACAACATTTTACCTGATAAATTCGGAAAGATATATTAAAAAGGGGAAGGCCGAAAGAGGTGCGCATCACGACAACTGCACGATCCGAGAACATCGGAGAAAAGAAATGGAAAGAAATAGTTATCGCGACTTAATCAGAGGACCTGCCACTTCCTATCTACAGGTATTTCGTCTCAATTGCCCTCTTCATAACCCATCAGGTATTTTTAGCTTTCCAGATCATAGCTCGATCGCGTACCTTGGCTTCAGACAACAGGCAGACGAGTGAATGACGACTCAAGGGTACATGGCTCTCGTAGAAATAACGAAGATATGAAAGAGGCGTTTGATATGAAAATACTAGAGTTATAAATAAGAACTATACCGCCATTGACCAGGTAGACAAGGGTATTTTGGCATTGAAAAGGGGATTTCTCTACATACACTTACATTACTTGAGTATACGTTTCCTACAGCTACGCATTGATGAAGTAATAAATGTGACAGAGCAAACACTAACAGGAAAACGAAGGGTTCAAAGTAAATAAGTCGCTGTGTGCAGAATCAAAACATGAATAAGGAAAACTGTACCTCGATTGATAACAGGGTTTTGTTGCTAAGAAAGACTTACATGTATGTTATGTTACATCACTTGTTTAAGCTTACTCTACTATACACGGAGAAAGAAAACTGAGCAATACTGTGATAGCAGCACACATATTAGGAATATTACAAGGGTTTCATCGAACAACCAAAAGGTTGCCGTACGGCATGGACAGATGAAAAGACGAAGAAAAACAGGAATTCTATTGCAAAGAAAAGGTTCCGAAAAGCACTTATGTTCATTACCTGACTCTGAATTTAATAGAAGCACGCAATTAAGAAAACTATAAGGGTTTAATCGAAATACGAAACAATAAAGAATTCGCCGTACTGTATTGCATGGCTAGACGAATAAAACATAAATTTCTATCGCGAAGAAAGAAAACATATCTCCATAAAATTACATCACTTGATTACACTGGCTCTGATACACAGTGATGCCATGTAATTATGTGATAGCTGCACACACGATCATGTTAATTAAAACGGTACGTGACATCTACGTTATTATCTAGCTCGTCTAGTTTACTGAAGAATGAGGCATTGCCATGCCTACTACCTAGGGGCAACTGTACAACTCCTGTGTGAACCCGTCCTAATTATTTAGAACCATTGCAATGAATCTGGAGAGTTCTATTCAACATCTTCCCGAGCTGTGTTATCATAACTTGATTATACATGTACATGGCTTCTCCTTACAAAGTTTAACTTTTAACACTTTTACTTGTGTTTCACCCATCTCATGTTTTGCTAAGTTAGGCACCAAGCTATCTTCGGAGTGCAAAAAACAAGTACTGAACTCTGTATATCGCTTTGCCAAGATAGGTGCAGAGTTGGGTGCCAAACTGGATCAGGATTCAAACTATGTACCTCAAAATCGGCATACAACTTTGCCGAGTTGAGTGCCGAGTAAGGTATCGAGCTGGGTCGAAGGTGAAACTCGGTAACCAATTCGGTACACAACTGTCGCGCTGGATGCCGAATTGTGTAACGACTTGTGGGCCGAGTTGGGTGCCGAGTTGGGTGCCGAGTCGGGTACCGAGCTAGATCGGGGTCAAAAGATGCACTCGGTTTGTGACACATTATGCCTAGTTAAGAGCCGAGTTAGGTACATAACTGGGTAAAAATGAGGGTGCCGAGTTGAGTCCCGAATAAGGTGTCGAATTGGGTGCCGCGTTTGGGTGACGAGTTGAGTGACGGGTTGGGTGACGAGTTAGGTGCCGAGTTGGGTGACGAGCACCGTGACCCAACGAGATCAGCGGTCAAACTCGGCAACTAAATTGGCACACAACTTTGCCGACTTGGGTACCGAATTAGACCTCGGGCTGGCTCAGTTCAACTCGCAGAGAATGAAAACTAGGGCATATCTCAAAACGATTCGTAAGCCCAATGTAGCGCCTTTTGTGTCAAGTTCTTACAGCTCCAAAGCATATGAAGCCTGGAAAAGTCGGGAAAACACGAGAGGATTTTTTAATTGTTTTTCTTTTCTTTTTTTAACTTCATTTAGTGACAAACACGAAAATGGCTGTATTGACATTGGACTCTCAAGGTTAATGAGCCATGGCCAATGGCAATGCTAGATAATGACCCTGAAAATACCGGCTCATTACAGAGCTCCCGCAATCTTTAATGAACAAAGGAAGATTTCTATAAGCGGTGATTAATTACATACGTCGACAGGACCTCACCACCACCACTCACAGAAGAGCAAAACAGATAAGATCGAAGAACTCTCCGGCGGAGCAGACATGTCAAAGTAAACACAGATTATACAGTCGAATTGTTAATGACGAGAGAGACAGGTTTATTAAAACTTGCATTCCACAAACATGACAAAAGCAGAGTCGTTTCATAATTTTTGATTTTTTTTTTTTTTTTGCGTTTCGCTCCAGGGCATAAAATGTCATTTATTACGATGAGATAAAAGGTGTAAAGCATTTTACTCATTTTTTGTATATCCACATGGCACGCTGCAGTTATCCTCTCTACCCCCCCCCCCTGCTTTCCTCTCTCTCCCTCTCTCTCCCTTTCTTTCCAACTCTTAATCTTTTCGTGTCTGTCTCTTAACCGTTCTCTCCTGTTCATTTCGAATGAACTCGTCGAGTCCGATTTTCTCTCCGAATCCCCCCCCCCCCACCTCTCTCTCTCCCTCTCATGTGTGTCGCTTTCCGTCCCTCCTCTCTCTCTCTCTATCTCTCTCTCTCTCTAACTGTATATACATATCTCCTCTGTCTGTCTGTTTCTCTCTCTCTCTCTCTCTCTCTCTATATATATATATATAAATATATTCTCTGTCTGTCTGCCTCTCTCTGTCTCTCTGTCTCTCTCTCTCTCCTTATCTCTTTCTCTCTCTCGCAAGTCTCAAAAGCAACACATAACTGACCTTGGACTTGCAAAGCCTTGATATTTTGTAATCTGTTTTCAAAAATCGTTTCACACAAATCGATCATGCTCTGTGTATTTAATAGCGATGACAATAACGGAGCAGACAATCGTCAAAGCACCTCTCAATCCGTCTTCGGTTGACAATAAAAGCGCATCCCCAAATCCCCAGTAATTAGGTTTATATCACAAAGTACAAAACTCGGTTAATCTGCCACCGTTTCCATTACGTGTATTGTATATATCTCGCCCACGTAGTGAATACACGGGGCCTGTATTATAGGCCGTATACTCTACACGGTGAAAGAGATTCAATATGATTTCCAGGTGCTTGTTAATCTTCAAAGGATTATAAAAAAAAATTATGTGACACTTGTTTACCGAGTCATCAATCTGGTTGGAATAGAAGAAAAGTTATGGCAGCTAGAAAAGGAAATGAAAACAGGTACAGTTAAGTAGTTAACAACTGAATAATTCATATCCCTTGTAAATATGACATGGGTTTCTTGTTGGTGAGTTTTTTAGTAACTCAGTAATGTGAGGTGGACTGGCTAAATTAGGGCGTTTGTTGAAAACTTTTGGATGTATGCTTTCAAATGTCACCTTCTCAAGAAAGAAATATAAATCGTGACAAATCAATGTTTCACATACTTCAAAAATTACAAAACTTGGAAAGAATATGAATACTTTAGCTGTTACCTGTATGCCTAGCTATAGATATTCGTTCTTACATGCTCCAAATAAACAAATAAAAAATTAATAACATACCAACAAAAACCAAACTTTCAGTTTTATCTGCCATTCTCTAGTAACGTGAGTAATACCGTATTTCATCAGCTTTAATAAACATAAACCTTGTTAAAGATTCCTATCTCAATTTGAAAATAGCATGCACCTGAGTCGAGAGGGACCAACGTGGGTAAAACGCCTTGTACACGGATGTAAGCGCCGATCAAGTATTGAACCTAGGATCTCCTCTATGAGAGTCAAGAGCCCTAAACAACACACCACAGTGCCCTCAAACTAATCTAGAATAACATAAACTATTCAATGCAAAAGCGCTCCAAACAACTTCATTATATCACATGAATTAGGTGAACCAAGAAAAGAAAATATTTCCTAAAACCCCAAGGTCACTTTTTCTATCTCCAGGTTTCAGGCGAATCAGGTATTCAACTTTTGACAATCTCTTTTCAAAAGAACTACAAAAAGAGAAGTTCCCCACATATGGGCTTGCATGTTACAATCAAAATAAGTTCGATTACCTTTTCC